TGGGCGCTCGCGAGCACCCTGCGCTGGGCGCTCGCGAGCACCCTGCGCTGGGCGCTCGCGACGCGCGCGCCGCTCGACGCGGGACGGGGTATTCCCCACGTGCGGCGGCTCACCGCTTCCGGGAACGGGAAGGAATGTAGCTGGGCAAGGGCGACGCGCAGCCGCTGCAAGCTTTCGGCCGCTGCAAGCTTTCCGCCCCCGCAGTGTCGCTCTTGTCATGCAGTGTATCGTGCCTGTCCGATGGGTACAAGTTGTAGTGGGACATCCCCGGTATGTGTGAACAGTACAACGGTAGACGGCGACGGTTGACGACCTTTTCTGCTCGTTCCGCACGCCGCATGTCGCAATTTCACTTAATTCTCGCCATCCCTCTCATCAGTGCTGCACTGGACGGTACTACAGTATACTGTAATGCCGTGTACAGAAACGGTACCGTACACGCAAGCCACCATACGCATGCCACCACAATCCTGCTGCACTAGATCTCCCGCGATACCGAACCCTTAGCTTGGTTCAGCTTCCATTATATCGCCCCGAGAATAATGTCCGCGTGCACCTTCCCACTCCCACCACAGCATCTTCCACCAAATCCCTTCTCCCGCGGAAACCCCTCCCCCCTTCCGTCCATGCATCCATGCCGGACGACTCCAACTCCTGGCGCATCCGCGTCCACCATGCGCTGCGCTGCGCGGTCGGTGCGGCGGCCATCGCGGCCATCGCCCTAACCACGGGCGTCACCTCCGGCTGCATCCCGTCCCTTCTCTTCTTCATCAGCACCATCGCGGGCACACCCGAGAACCTGCAGGGCTTCCAGCTGCGCTCGGCCTGCTTCACCTACGTGGGCGCGCTGTTTGGCGTCCTGTCTTATGCCGCCGTCGCGGCCGTCACCTCCGGCTCCAACATCGCCACCTTCTTCGCCGCCGTCCCTGTCATCTTCTTCTTCTCCTCCCTGCGCGCCGAGAAGGACCTCACGCCCATGCCGGCCGTGGCCAACGTCTACTTGGGCTTCCTGCTCATCTCTCGCTTCTCCCACGCGCGCCGCGACATCCCGCGCTTCCTGGCCAGCTTCGTCGCGGAGGCCTCCATCGCCTGGGCCATGGCCAACCTCGTCAACTTCATCGTCCCGACCGACCGTGCCGGCCCCATCGGCCGCCGCATCGTCGCCCACGAGCTGCGCCGCATGGGCGCTGTCATCTCGGACGTCGGCACGCGCACCTTCGCCTCGCCCGCCCCGCACCCCGCCGCCCGCTCCCTCCCCTCCGCCGCTAACATCTCCGACAGCTTCCGCAAACCCAACGACTTTACTCTCTTCCTCGCCGAGGGCCTGGAGGAGAACGCCGCCAACGCCGGCCTCGCCGACGATGACTTCGTCTTCCTCACCCGCAACTTGCCCAACAACGCTCGCATCACAAGCGGACGCTCGCACATCCGTAGCAGCGACATGATCCGCACTACAGAGCACTCGCTGCTCTTCATGAAGGACCTCCGCCCTTTCGGACATACTCGGGTCAGCGACTATGCCAGCCTCGCGCGCGCCGCGCAGCTGTTCGACGCTTCCGCGTACGAGCCGCAGCTCCTGCCCGAGGCCGCTAGCCACTGGAGGAATGTCCGCGCGTGGAAACAGGTCATCCATAATATGCAGGCCGTCGTTAACAAAGTATCCTCCCTGGAATCTATCGTGTGCATGGGCAAGCGCGGAAGCCACGTCCGATTCTCGGAGCAGTTTCTGGTCCGCTTTTTCGGCGAGGCGTATCTTCCCTTGTGGATGTCCCACTTTGCCTCCTTGGCCGCTTCCTGCTCCAAGATGTCTTCCGTCATGTGTCGGGCAACTTGCGACGAATTGTTCTCCCTCTCTACTGCCAATCAAGGGAGCAGCAGCACTGACGAGGCAAAAAGCTCCCAAAATGATAAGGTCCTGGACTGGGCGATTGACCCGAGGAGGTGGAATGCGAGGAGAGAAGATATGTACTTTGGTTTCCTGCTGCGGTACCGCCTGGCCTTGCGAAGCGTCGCTCGGGAAGGGATAAAGGGGACTCAGCTTGAAAGCGACGATGACCGGCGAGGAACCATGGAGACTCCAAATAATCTTCGCGGTGGGAATGGTCTAGAGAGTGATAACGATCTGAAAGCCAAGCCTATACGACGAAGTTTTTCAATATCTGACTTGAAGTCTTTCTCTCAATCCCCGAAAAAGTTCGATTCAGATGCTTTTGAAGCTAATTCCGCAGCGGTAAAATCAAAGGTGGAGGTGCAAGCTTTATCGTACTTTGCGCTGACAAGCCATGCTTTATCTGAAGAAATAAGCCATGTACAGCAAGCAATGGTTGAGTTGGCAGCCACATCCGACGCCCGAGGTCTGCTGGCCCCGTTTTACTTCGTAGTAAGTGGTTTGCCACCGCTGTGGCGTCGGATCAAGGCGTTGGCTAAAGGCAATGTGCGGGGGTGGGAAATCAAATTTGCGTGTACTCATTCAATGCTGTTGACATCCATTCTTGCGCTCTCGTTGTTTCTCCCAATTTCCAGGATCGAGGAATCTGAAATTGCTTGGGTTTACACCTCAGCTGCTCTTGCCGCCCAGTTAAGTGCAGAACCAACGCTTTTCATCGGTACTATACGTGTTCTTGCGACAATAACTGGGGCTGGCATCGGGTTTGGGTTCACTTCTATCCTCGACGCAATGGGCCGCTCAGACCATTCAGCCATTCAATACCTTGCAATTCCATACATGTTTATCATGACCATCGTGTGCCTGCTGCTTGTTCCGCCCGCATATCGGTATGCAGCTTTTCTCGTAATTGCGACAAACGCCATCATTATTTTCTGTCCAAGATCTACCCCCGAATGCACACGAGTGCTAGAAAAGCAGAGCGAGAGTTGCTTTCCCGATTGGAAGTACGCTCTATCACGAAGTACTAACGTAGCCCTTGGTGTCGTGTTTGCTATGTTTTTTCATCTCATCTTCTGGCCGAGGTATGCAAATCAGGTCGCTCTTCGGTACCTTTCAGCCGCTTTCCTTAGTTCCTCGAGACTATTTGGGAAACTCCATCGCACGTACTTTTCGTATGGTCTCCCTAGCGGAAGCGGGTCCCCAGACCTTGAACCTTCCACAAGCTATGCACGGGGCGACTTGCTCCTCAATGAAGATGTGTACCAAAAAGATCAGAGTGTCTTGGACGAAATCATATCAAAAGTGGGCTGCCCCCTGGCTGATGCTATGCTGCTTGTGAAGTCAGAAGCTGACGTCTGGCAAGCGGGACCATTCCGTTTAGATCCACTGATCCCGCGCGTACTGTCTGACTTTGTGGCGCTGTCGGTAAGCCTTGTGGAGATGGCATCACTATTGGGCCGTCGGCCCATCTACTCTTCGTCATATGGCCGTTCTGTGTTTGAGCATTTCATTCATCCAATGTTAGGCGTGTACGAAACAATTCAGATTTCTCTGAACAATCTGGTCGGCATCACCGACCGCACGGTCGCGGGCAACAAAGAACAAGAGACACGCGAAAACTCATTCGACCTGCACCACGCAATCACGCATCTCGCACGAATTCGAGGCAAGCTCCGACGGGATGCGGCAAAGCGCTCCTTCGAGTTCCAAAAGTTCAGCGCGATTCAACTCACACGTCGCAAGCCGTGCCGTTTCTCCCGACATGGGAACGCAGCCGACGACTCGTACGTGGACCTAGTCTTCCAGGACCTTGGCCTCGCTAAGCAAACCCGAGATGCGTCATACCCACGTGCCCGATCCCACAACGAAACGAACCGTGCGTGTAAGACTGATGAGCAGCGCTTGTGCGTAGACGACGTGGTGTTGTACGATGCGTTTACGTTCATCACGGACACCTGTCTCAGCGCGTTTGTGCGCATCGCGGTGGCGGTGCTGATCGACTCGGAGGCGAACCTGAAGCGAATGAAAGAACGGCGCCAAGAAGAGAAGAGCCTCTTCGCAAAATTCAAGCGGAGTCTAGCGTCCCGAGGTGTCCGACGAGGACACCAGGACGCGCCCTGATACTGAAAAGACCAACCCAAGGGATAAGTTTCAAGTTTCAGTGTGCTCGTTTTCGGGGAACATGGCAAGGACGTGGTTGATGAGCGGGTCGTTCCCGGCCTCAATCCTGCATTCGGGCGGCACTTCGCAGTACAACTCCTCTTCAGTGTCTTCCGGAAAGAAGGGGTTGTACTCGATCTTTTTTTCCCAGTTGCGGACGCAATCCGAAGGCTGAGTCGGGGATTGCCGCTGGGGATGGGGCTTGTTTCGGCGCAGGCCAGGCTGTTCGGCAAGCCCATGCGCGACACCATCGCCTTGATCGGACAGGCTTTCTCCCCTCACCACGGCGGAAAATGCCTTTAACGGGGGCTCATCCTCCTCGGCGCGGGTGGGGACGATGGCGTGCGGGACGTATGGTTGCAGATCGGCGGCTTGCGGATGCGCGGGCTTGTCGTGCTTGGCGCGGGCGACCGTGGGCTTGCGCGTGCGGAACATGCTAGCCGTGTCCTCGTTGCGCGGGAAGGACATTGTGAGAAGGAGGAAAGTGCGAGAGAATAAGACGGCGCGGGGTGACGGGGGTTGGGATGGGGAGGTTGGTGATGTAGAGGAGGGCTGGTGCGTCGGAGGGGTCGAGTAGGGGTCGAGTACGAGATGTGCACTAGACGGGATTTTTAAATTTTTGAGGGGGGAAGTGTGGGCGTCTGGTTTTGGCAGAAAATAAACAGAAAGAATATTTGAAATATGGATGTGCCGGATGGGTTGGGTACGATTCATTTCCCGCCAAAATGGAGGCTTGCAATGACTTGTTCCAATCATGTCCCATGTTTGCTGCACCTGCATCAACAGATCAGGTCGTCTACACGTGTACTGCACTAGGGCATTACAGTGCAGTTCACAGTGCACTCCCAGTATAGCTTAACAAGACCCGCGATTCATTAGGCCTTTCTATCAATTTGCACTTGGCTGCAAAAAGCCGTACTCAATACAGTAAGCGATGTCATGTAACAGATTGAGAGCTCAAATTCCAGAAATTATCTGAATCACGATAACCAACAAATGGCACTCATACATGTGTTACACGTACCGAAAGCATAGGAATCACCGCAACTAGAACCGTTTTCAAAAAAACGCGGACAAACACAGAGAAGACACTGTGTTAGATAAAACGTTCAACTTTTACGTAATCCCTTACCATTCCTCGCCGCCATTCCCGAAACTCTTTCCCAATCTCGATATTTTTCTATGAATCCTCTCATCACTCCCCAGGGCGCAGCGAATGCGCTTCACTTGCTTGCAGAGGCCGCTGTAGACAGAGCAGCTGAGATACAGCAGCACAGCCGTGAGGAGGAATGGAGCGCATCCGACGAGGAGTCGGACTCGGCTTGCCCTATCATCGACGCATTCTACAGTGAGGCCGGCCCACCCATGTTTCTCCATATGACCAACTTCACAGCCCAGCAATTCAACCTTCTTTGGGAGGCCTCCGCCGATTTCATCCGAGACAATTGGAACACTGGACGGGGCCGAAAAACGTCGGTCGCAAACAAGGACATCCTTTTTATGACGCTTGCGTCTGTAAAGCATGGGGGAACATGGGAACGGTTAGCTTCAAAATTTGCTATGAAAGGACCAACTTTCGAGCGCCTGGTGCTACGATTTCTTGGTTTGATGGCGGACGAAATGTATCGGGTGTATGTAGAAAAAAATGATGACACTTTCCCAATGATGGCGTTAATGGAGAGGGGGCGTACTTTTAGACACTTTTCATTCGCACGGTACGCCACCGATGTTATCTTTCAGCAGAGCAACCGCCCTGTTGGGACGATGCAGGAAGGAAAGCATAACTATTCCGGGAAGCACAAATTGTATGGTCTGAAGACCGAGGTTTCTGTTTTGCCCACGGGGCTAGCAATTGGATGCAGTAAACACTATGGTGGTTCAGTGGCGGATATAGAATAATGAGCAGGATGAAAGTCTATCACAAGCAATGGCTCGAGAAAAAAGGAGATGAATCAAGTGTTGCTGGTGTCGGGCCGCTGAGAGATGACTTTCCAGGGAAATGGGCAGTACTCGCCGATAAGGGGTACCAAAGAGCTACTGAGATGTTGAAGGTTGTGCACCCCGTGAAGCGGACGAAGAACAGAGCCATTACGCGCGACGAGGAGCGATTCAATCGCAAGGTGTCGGGGAACCGAATTATTGTTGAAAACTGTTTTGGTCGGTTTTGTTCTCTGTGGACTGTTGTTGGGAGCAAGTTTCAGTGGGCTGAGGCGTCATACGATACTATTTTTTGTTTCTGTCTTGCAATGACTAATTTGCATGTCAAGTGGAACCCGCTGAGGGCTGGGGATCGGGACTTCTACGTGGGATGGAAGAATCGTCTCTACAAGCTAGGGGATGAGCGAGTGACGAAGCGCAGGCAAGGACAGGCGCTGTACAGGGAACGTCGTCGACAACGTTTGAATGTCCAGATGCGTGGTGCCAGTTCGGGAACGGAAACACAGGCTCCGTGAGAAACACTGATGTGTTGCAAGAACATAGCAGTGTTCTGTAAACAAAGTGCCATTTTGGATGTCAGACGTCGTTTTCCATTATAATTTGGCGGTTGTTGCATTGCTGTGTGGTCAGGATGTCGTCGTTTTTTTTTAAGTGCGGCTGCCTTTCCTTTATCAGCTGTGATCTACGCAAAAAGCGAGCTTTTGAGGCAAAGCCCTATTGCACTGCAATACGAAGGTGCTGTGCGGCAAGTACGGCAGAAAGCCGTGCCTTATATTGCCGTTTTTGGTCGTTTTTGGCCCTGGAGATATTCTGATTGGAATGCATTGCTGTATGGCTCGGAGTAGAACAATCGCATTCAGAGATTAATCAAGAGTAGCTGTCTACAGCTACCCTTGGGTACGCGCACCACAACACAGTCTGCTTCTTTATGCCGTGCCAGTGTACTTTGATGTCGCAACTTGATGTCACCAGCAAGTGGCTTAGTTTGCGGCGTGTTTCATGCCAGCAGTGGACATCCGCGGTCCACATGGACTTCCTACCTCGGACGCGTTGAAAGCTTGAGGTGGTGACGTCACCACCTCCAATGCAAAAAAAATGCTGGGTGTGCATGAACAGTTAATCCTTGAACACTTTAATACTCTGTACAAAAGCACAATCCTTTATTATCTATGCACTGTAGCGATGCGTATCAAGCGGGTGCAGCGCAACGCGTATGTAGTAGCAGTGCTATAGTACCGTAATGATGGGCTGGAATGGCATTCTCTTCCCTAGTTTCTTGACTGATAATTATAATCATCTGCCTCAATTACTCTTCCAGTCTGTTGCTGGAGCCAGCTCCTGGCCGCGCATCAAAATATGACTAATTGGCTCCCTACCTCTCGGAGAGGTGGCTAGAGTGATGCAGAAATGCTGTCTGTGGTTCCGTGAACTCCGATACACCCCGATCCCCGAGGGAGCGGGTGGCTGTCGGAGACTTTATTGCGTTGCGACTACGTTATGCCCTATTGGCTATGTCTTATTACTGTGTTGTGCCGTACTGTCGTCTGGATGTAACTACTGTTGTGTTGCAGTGTGCGTCTCGCGCACACCGTCCGATCGTCGCTTTTGTTTTCTGGATGTCACCACACTCCCCCTGACGCGAGTGGTGGTGGGCGCGAGTTGTTGTGGGGTAGGGGGGGTGGTAGGCGTAACTGTATGTGGGTTTTGTGCCGCTTGTACAGCGTTGTCTTGAGGGGGTTTGTTAGGATGACGGCGTACTGCTCCATCGTGGGGATTCTGCAAATTGTGATTTCTCCCTTTTGTACGATGTCGTGGAGGTAGTGGTAGCGGACATCTATGCACTTGCGGCGACGTATGGACCCATGCTTTTCGCCATTTGGGCCGCGGCGGTATTGTCGATGTGCATGGTGGGGCGGGCGCTTGTGATCCCAGTTTCTGTCATCAAGTTTTGCAGCCATGTCGTGAGTGTTGCAGCTTCGGTCGCCGCTATGTACTCTGCCTTGCAGGTACTCTTCGCCACGACTGGCTGCTGCTTCGCCAGCAATTGTACGGGGGCACCGTTGACCATGGTTAGCATTCCTGTGATTGACTTCCTGGTGATCTGGTCGTTCGCGTAGTCCGCGTCGGAGTACGCGTTGACTTTCACTCCTTTTTCCGTGTTTGATCGCATGAGTATGCCTTCGTTCTTCGTTTCTCTCAGATATTGTGCAACCCTCTGTACAAGTTTCCAGTGTCTGCGTGTTGGTTTCTTGAGTGCTCGGGCGAGGGCAGTGGTGGCGAATGCTATGTCGGGGCGGGTGCTGTCCATGATATATCGGATTTCTCCGACAGCTTTTTCGTATATCGCGGCGATCTCTTCACATTTTTCTTCGTTTGCTGCTGGGGGATCCATATCGATGCCTTCCAGATAGGGGGTTCTCTCGGTATTGCACTCTTGCTGGGAAAGGAGTTCCGCTGTAGTAGAACGCGGAACGTGGCCACGTGCTAAAACGAGGGTCGTTCGTGGGGTCGTGTACTAGGTAGCTAGGGGGAAGTGGTAGAGGCTTTCGGGCAACTGTAGAACCCGGGTGTGCTCGCGAACCACGGAGACTAGAAGCAAACGACGCGATGCTCTCGACCCAGCGGGGCTATCACACGGCCAGCGAACCGTGCGCGCGAGCGGGGAGGCAACACGCGACGTGGCCACGAGAGTCCTAGGGCGCGAGCGAGGAGAACGAGAGAGTGTGAATGAGAAGAAGTTAGTTAGTACTGCGCAAATCCAAGAACAAGAGTCGCGTCCTTGGTCCTTGGTTGCTTGTCCCCAAACCCACCCGGCGCAAGCGCCAACGACACTATATACTGTACTAGATCGCGGTCGAGATGTAACGGCTAGAGCTCACGAGGTCGCGTCATAATACACACTTGTACAAGCGCGGTAGTAGGTCCACGTGTGCGCGTGTCGAAAGCGAGCAAGGCTGGTGTAAATGGGCTTGGTACTGTACGTCGGGGTACTTGAGTTATCTAGATACACGTGTACACGAGTAGCGCGAAAAGGTTACTACAGTGGCACGGGTTTATACCACATGGCCCCCCCCTCAGACGTGGACGCCCCTGTCCACGCCAGGAAGGGTTGCCACGTGTGATTGTGGCTAGGGTGCAGGTACACGTAGAATGTGCGGGATACAGTGTCAGCTCGTGATAGCACGGTAGATGGCGTGATTATGAGCGCGGAATTTGTGCACGAAATGTTGTGGTCCTCTGTGTCACGTGTTTTTTCTCGATGTTTCAGATTTCCGGCGAAAACAATTTTTGCCCGAAATTTTGTGTATGGTAAGAAAATCTTGTCGCGCGACAAAAGGTCTTGATGATTTTTTCGTTTTGTGGTGAGGCAACGCACTGTACGCCTCCTACATATAAGGGACGCCGGTGTTCGTGCCATAAGCGTGGCGCCACCCTCGGCAATGCGCCATTATCACGAAAAACGAGCGAGCGTGGGTGGTGAGCCAGGTCTTGTGGCACGGCGTGGATCATGGTTCGAGGCAGTCGGGCAGGCGTGGGCTCATCGAGACGCACAACGGAGCAAGGTGAAGAAGGTCTCACGGGTGTCGAAGTCGCGGTCGTGCCAGGCGCGGAAGGGGAGATGACGAACCTTGGGCACACCGGTCCGGCACATCTCGGTGCCGCACCGGTTGCTGGCGTCGACGCGCTTTCATCCGTGGGCGTTGCACAAGATCGTGAGGCGAGGGCAGGAGATGTCGAGGATCCGTGGGCTCGCGCGCTGCGTGGAAAAATTCTTGAAGGCACGGAGAGGGGTGTTCGGGACGAGGGAGTTCAAGAACCGGAAGGCGTGTTTGGGATCTCAG